CAAGGGTTCTGTTCCCAAATCTAGTATAGCCCAGAAACAAATACAAACTTCACATGGTCAATGGATGAGCAGGTATTTAAGTGAGGAGTAGTCAATTAAGTATCAACAAGAAATGATACAATGGCTGGAGAGATGGCTCACAGTTAAGAGCACTGGCTGCTCCTCACAGGACTAGTGTTCAACTCCCTGCACCCACATGGCAGCTCACAACTGTCTGTAACTCCAGTTACAGGGGATCTACTCCCTCACACAGACAGAGATGCAGGAAAACACCAATGTACATAAAATTAATTAATTTTAAAAATGTGTGAAAGCAACAGGAAGAAAACCTACTTTCTGGATCATTCTGAATTCATTTTTTAAAAAAATAAAAAGATACAGAATAAACGATTTTTAACATTTTAACTTATGTGTGCAAGTGTTTTGCCTGTACATATGTCTGAGCCCCACTGTGTGCCTGGCGTCCGTGTAAGTCAGAAAAGGTTATTGGTTCCCTGTAGCACAAATAATAAAAAACCAGAGACAGATATTGGGGTTAAATCAAAGGCACTAGGGAGTTCTCACCTCTACCAATTCTCAAACCAAAGGGGCGATCCTGTCCTCGGACTGCATCTCCAGACTGCACTGCTCCTCAGAATGCACTACTCTCCACCAAACCTCAAACTGCCTTCTGCCTAGTCTGCACCTCTCTTGTCTCCTCTCACCATATATTCCTCTCTCTTCCAGCCATATCACTCCTGTCTCCACCTCCCTACTGCTGGGATTAAAGGTATGGGATCCCAAATGCTGGATGACCTTTGTGTGAGCTGTTTCTCTTTTAGACAGATTCAATTTCCTGTAGCCCAGGGTAACCTTGGACTAACAGAGATCCCTCTGCTTCTGTCTCTTGAGTCCTGGCATTAAAGGTGTGTACCACCACTGCCTGGCCTCTATAGCTAACTAGTGTGGCTAGCTTTGCACTCTGATCTTTTAGCAAGCTTTATTTGTTAGATCATAAACAAAATATCACCACAGTTTCCCTGCCTGGAACTGGAGTTACAAACAGTTGTGAGCCACCATATGGGTGCTGGAAATTGAACCCAAATCCTTGGAGGAGCAACCAGAGTTCTTGTCACTAAGCTAGCCCCAATAAATAAACTTGAATGACAGTTTTCTGAAATATCCATATACAAATTACAAAGTAAAATAATTTCATAGGTCTCAAGTCTGGGTTATCTGGACCAAAGCTTCACCCATAACATAATATACTGAGTACCTACTATATATCAAACACTGGATCAGGCAGAGATATCATGAAAAACTAAACAACAGTGTTTTTGTAATACTGTAAGAATACAGTAATAACAAATATAAACGCATGGTCCACTGCATGTTAGAAAGAAAAATGAAGCATACTTTTATAGATGCAAAACTAAATCTAATCAGTACACTAAAGAGTTCCTAATGAAGTCATCCATAAACTGGAGTCAGAAGGGTAAGATCTGAGAGTAGAAGCTTATAAACTGTTATGCACAAATACTCAAAGATAAAGAAACACCTTGGAGGAACTGGAAAAAAAAAAAGCCCTGTTAATACAAATAATGGAAACCCAGTGTAGTTCTTAAAGCAAATGTATTGTAAACGCCTTAATCGGAAAACAAATCCAAAGAATATACATAGTATATATTAATATTGGTGTTAATATTGACATCTTACATATTATTTAATAATATAAAAGTATATATAACATAATACACACACATCTCCAAACTGTCCTGAAAGCACCCAATATGATGTATAAGTTTTGGCAAATTAAATAACAAAAATATTACACTGGGCGGTGGTGGCGCATGCCTTTAATCCCCCCAGCACTCGGGAGGCAGAGGCAGATGGATCTCTGTGAGTTCGAGGCCGGGCTGGACCAACAGCCTCCAAAACAATACAGAGAAACCCTGTCTCGTAAAAACCAAAAAATCAAAAATAAAAAAAAAACAAAAATATTAACAACTGGGGCTGAAGAAGACAGCTCAGCAGTTAAGAGCTTCCAGAGAATCTGGGTTTAATTCCCAGCACCTACATAGTTAACAACTGTCTGTATTATCAGTTCCAGAATATCCAATACCCTTTTCTGGCTTCCTTAGGCACTGCATACACATGGCACACAGACACACATGCAGGGAAAAAACAATACATATAAACTAAATTAGATCCTAAAAAAATAAATATTAGTAACTGGAACTGAGGATAAGTGAATGTCTTGAGCTGGAGAGTTTACTTTCTCCTTCCTAACCTTATTTAAGAACCTATATACAACACATCTCTTTTTTAGCTTTATTCTGTCACATACCAGTCTATTAAACGATCCTAAGGAGACAGAAGACCTTTTCCAAATACGTGATCAAAAATTAGTGTAACAAAGGGAAGGTATTATCCCACTATAAACAGTTCTGATACTAAAGTTATACCTGTTAGCCCCTTCTTTCTTTTCCTTACATTAATTACTGTGGATCAGATAAAATCCGCTATGACAAAGAATATATAAGCCCTTGGGGGAGGGGGAGAGAGAGAGAGAGAGAGAGAGACAGAGAGAGAATGACAATGTATACACTTTGCTGCTACTATTTAAAAAAGCTATTTAGCAATATTCCCAAAGCGCTCCTGAGATCTAGTGGGCTTACAATTAACTTTCTTACACTGATAATTAATCTGATAAAACATATTCTCTACCTAGTCCCTCATATTAGCTCTACACTGATATATTTATAAAGTGGCTAATTAAGAACCTAAGAATTCTCAAGGAGAAAATTAACTGTTTCCTAAGACATCATGTGGGAGACATACAAGAAAATATTACATCCAAGCATAGGTTAAATAATGTGTAATCTACATTAGTACAAGTAAAAACAACCAGAAAGAATAGCATGATATAAAAGCTCCTTTTCCTTGAAAAGTGTTTAAACAGAGAACAGCTTTTTTTTTTCTTTTCTGTCTTTCTTTTTTTTTTTTTTTAATTCAAAGAGGAAGTATGCTTTCAAACCCACTACAGTTCTGTTTCCAATGTATTAATCGGGACTGGGTATGTAGACCAGTGGTAGAGCACTTGCCTTGTATATGCATGGTTCCAGGTCTAATTCTCAGCTCTAGGAGGGGGAAACCAACTGGGTTCCTTTTAAGGAATGCATTAATCAGAAAAGAAACGTAGGGCTATTTATAACTGTCTTAAATTAGTAAATGCCAATTATACTACTGTAGATAGAGGCCAAGATTTAGCAGTTCAATAATAGTGAAGATTTAGTCATCCCATCTCACAACCTAGTCATTTGAAAGCGTTTTAAAATAACAGCCTTCATTGTGAAGAACATATAGTTATTATAGTTATGGGGGGGCCTCAAAAACTAATCTTCATTGCTTTAGCTCAACCCACATGCCTGTTCTTAAGGGTATCCATGGTAGCAATGATGCAACATGCCTACCTAGTTCACTGTGCCTACACAAGTGGGAGAAAGGGGAGGCGGATGATAAAAATTTTACTTGAGGTGTTTTAGTATTAACACGATAGAATTCTATCAACTACACTGTCAAATTTTAAAAACCATAAAGTCCTCCAACACTCAGAAAGGACCCTAGAACAGAATGACAATAAGGGGGAATGGGATGTACTGAAGCCTTTAGTTGAAGAGAAAAAAAAGAATTTTGCTCATCTTACTGTGTAGCAATTTGTTTAAAATGTTCAAATGTTTATTTCTAATAATAGAATAAATTATTCTAATTTATAATTTCAAAACTACAAATAATGTTTTATGCTTCCTAATTTCCAACCTACATGTTTTCCTATTTTGGTTTTCATAGTTACATAATAATTTATAAATATTTTAAGGACAGTGATTATATCCAGTGTTTTTTAAGCAATAAAAAATTGTGTGATTTTTTTGCTAAAAAAAGTAAGATGAATGTAAAAACAAGTCTCATTAAATAAAAGCTAAAGATATATATATATAAAATGACTTTGCTGTATAATATTGGAAGTAACAAACTAAATGATATTATTCAAGATAATTCCCAGGAGAAATCCAAACATATATGAAAAAAAAAAGGAAAACACAATCAAACAACTATTTTCAGGTGTATGTGTCCCTTAAACATTCTTTGGGAATACTTCAATAAAGCAGATTGCTTTTAAGTCCTGGAGAAGTCCACCTTTTTACTGAAGAGGACAAGCCCACATCATGGGCACACCAGTATCTGATCACAGACAACTATCTGAACCATAGCTCTGCGTGCAATAACAAAACAAAAATCAATGCCATCAGTTTTCCCACTTTTCTTCTGAGAACTAATTCATTACACAGAAATATTCATAGCCTGCTTTCAGAAATAATACTTTTACTTATTCTTTTATCACTGAACATAATCTTAAAATCTCAACAGTTTTGCCTAAAAATCACTATGTGGCATTAGTGTGTAGAAATAAAAACTAAAATGGGTACTTCCTGTTTTGAAAACCCAAATGTAAGCACCTGGAATTATAACCGCATAATCACACATGTCCGCAGCCTGGTGCTTAGAAATCAGAGTGGTCTGCTTAGAGAGTAAGTGAGGCATACTGAGCAGGCTAGTACTTCAAGAAGTGCTGAGCAAGTTCAAGGGGTCTCAGTCCAGACCAGTATCTATCCAACAGCACAGCAAGAACCCAACTGTTTAAAAAGAAGAGTATAGAAACTGCTCACAAAATGAGCTACACTTTCAGCTAACAAGGCATGTCCAAGAGAAGAGAGGAACTCTGAGGAAATGCAAGACCTAAACACACTAAGGCTTTCCAGACCTATGCTGTTTCCCAAAAGCTTCCTGTAAATCTTGGAGGAAAAAAAAAATCAGTTTAACACTATTTTTACTTACCTGAAATACATTTCAAACTACTGCCTTTGCTAACTATGTATCCCATAGATTCAAGTATCTATTTCAAGCATCTAACAATGGCTCTATCTTAAAGAATGAACACAGAAAATCATACTGTATCTTACCTTTGTAGTTACAATGCACAGGCAATCCATTATTCTACCATTACAGTATTATATACATAAAGCAAAACTATTCAAATTGCTTATTCCGACAACAACAAAAAACTTCAAATGAAGAAGTTGTTAGATAAAATCATAGATGAAAAGTTATAACTGTGCCAAGATCTCGCCAGGATCCATTCTTAGAGCTAGCAATTTTTCTACTATCTGAAATATAAGAAGCCAGAAAGCATCACGTGCCCTACAATCTTCTTTATGTAAGCTGTCTCTGAAGAACTTGAAATTATCCAGCAAAACACTGTGGAACTTGCCGGGGTTTATTCCGTAAGAGCCCACTGCTGCTTCAGACGCTACTTCATTAATCCCTCTTTTCAAGATACGTTGCCAGGGAGTCATCTGATTAAATGCTCCACAAGGAGGTTTCCCCAACACAAATTTATATCTGTTTTTCCTTGTTTGATATAGTTTGTATATTCAAAGAACTGCCGAAGAAGAAAAAAATCACTAGACAAATGAAAGCAAACATTTCTTTCACTAAACCATTCCAGCAACTGCAGCCTGCAAAGTAATGACTTTCTCGGGCAGTAATGAATGGAATATTCCAAGTGTTATTTTTGAGAAGGGGAGCAAGAATAACAAAGCAATAATGTGAAATATTACTAAAGCTTACTTTTTTCTCTTTACCAAAATAAACAACATTTTACCAATGAAGCCAGATTTTTACTTTATTGCATTACCAAGTCCACCTTACTACCCAACCCCCTGCCCCTTGGGTACAGGGAGGAAGCACCACAAAGAGGCAGTTATAACTGTACCATTTCAAACTCCTAAGCAAGTACTCATTTTTAACCCAGAGGCCACCTAACTTTTTAAATGGTGTCTAGCTCTCAAGATCACAGGCTAACAGAGATGGGAAAGGACACAGAGATGCCAAGTGGTTTTCACTTTCATAAGTTCTCAACTCCCCTATAAGCACATACAATAGGAAGAGTACTATCTGCAATTTTGGGACCTTAAATAAAATTTATCATTTTAAAAATAGAATACTAAAATCAACATATGTGATATGAAAGTAGAAGTTAGTTGGTTTCTTTCTCAGTGTTGAGAAATTTCTCATAAAAATCTTAAGAAACCAGAGAGGGGAGATCTCCCTCAGTGTGACAGACCTACAATTGGAGATTAGACAATCCCTATAGCAAATAAGAAACATGGTTCAACCCATTAATAACCTGTATAACCAGCTGTTTTCTTTCTCAACGTGTGTGTGTGTGTGTGTGTGTGTGTGTGTGTGTGTGTCTGTGATACTTAGTTTCCCTTTTATAAAACATACAGTGGAATTAAGAGTCCTTCTCTTTACTTCTAAGTTCCAACGAGGGCAAAACTCATGAATATCTCATGCATCTACTGTTTTGTCCTAACCTCAGCACCTGTGGGTTAACATACTGTGACCCGAATGTAACATGGCTCAGTATGTGTTGATGACTAAGTAGCTGTTCTAGCTTCTAATCTGTAGGTGATTACAAAACTGAAAATCTGAATTGATTCTAAAAATGAGATACCACATTTTCCCAAGACAACCCCTAAAATACCTTTGACAACTCAATTATAAACTTGTAAGACTTTACAAATTAAATAGCCAAATAGTCAAGTTTAAATTTGGGTGACTTTTATGTATATTTAACAATAGTCACATTTTAGGAAATAATTTTAGTTGGGCTCTTTATATTCATCTTTGACACCACAGTCATCCATATAGCTACACCACTCTTGTCAGATGTGGGCTGGAGAGACAGCTCAGTTGATAAAGCACAAAACCTATATTTGAACTTAAAAAGTAAATAAATAGAGCCAAGTATATGACTCATACTTCTAATTCCAGAACTAGGTAAGCAGAAACAAGGTAGACAAATAACTGGTGCTTGATGGCCAGCCAACTTAGCCTAAATTGGCATGGCACATTCCAGGTGAATGAAAGACCCAGTCTCAAAAACAAAGGTGCACAGCAAATGAGTAACTACATCAGAGACTGTCCTCTGGTCTGAACACACAAGTGCATGTATGCCTACATACTCACCTCATAGTGCATACTCATATGCCACATACATCTGCGCGCAGGTGTGTGTGTGTGCACACAAATCTACTTGACTTCAAACAGCAGTTTTACGGAATCTAAGTTGCATAAGATGTTGCTTTTTTTTAATTAAAATGACCATTTACCCAATTTCCTATTAGTACCCATTTTAAGTACAGAGATTTCCCTCATTTGGACAATAGTGGTATATTTATAATGGCTACGATGTAATCAGTTAACTGTATTACCTTTTTAATGTACTAATTGTCTTGAATGTACATCTCATACTCAGGAATGGTCACCTAATCTGTATTAAATTCTGCATTTACTCTACCTATCAACACCCAAACTGGCATTGACTAGGCACATTTTAAATCAAAGTTTCTTTCTAATCATTTGCTCTTTGAAATGATTTAGAAGCTACCTTTAAAAGGACTTAAAATAAGCCTTCGGAGATGACAATACCTCACCTAATATCTAGGAACATAAGCTAATCAACACTACCACAGAATACTAGTGGCTTTCTACATAGGCAACTGCTTTTACCAAAGATGGAATGACGGGGAACAAAATGGTCCATTTTAAACAACTAAAACAAAAACACTAGACAAATACAAAGGAATAATTTTCAGGTACTAAAAAGAGGCAGTTTAAAGCAATGAACCTGTATGAGGGGAAACAGAAGATGAGCTCTGTAACTGTCCAGCCGAAGTCTGGGCCTAACAGCAAAGGAAGAGAACTAAACAGAGCCCAGTGCTAATATCTAACTGAAAACTCAATATGGCCAAGGTGTCCAGATCCATGGTAAGAGTAAGCAGAAGGAATGTGGCTGCAGGGCTCCCTCAAGTGCCCAGATTAGCTCTGATCATCTTCATCAGCAAAGACATCAATTTGAGGCTTTGAAAAAAATCCAGGAGGAGGAGGAATTCACACAGTACCAAGAATAACAAAACAATTCCTAATAGACAGGACACCAGACAGGATTAGGGTATGGCCACAACAATCTGGGAACAAAATCAGCCTTACACTAAAGTGTCCCAGTATTGATGATGATGATGAGGAGGAGGAGGATGAGGAGGGGGGGAGGAGGAGGAAGCTTAAAAGTACAACAGGTTTAAACTTTTTCCAAATAACTTCACTGTACACCAAAGCAAAGTTCAAGAATATTTAAAAGAATAAAATAATCTATGCTTACAAAGGCTTAAAATTCACAATGTCTGCCAAATTTATTAAAAATGAGCAGGTGTATAAAGAGCAGGAAAATATAACCCAGAAGAGAAAAGCCAATTAAGAGTCAGAAATGACAGGCGGTAAAAACAGGAAACAGTTGGGTGTTGGTGGCGCACACCTTTAATCCCAGCACTCGGGAGGCAGAGGCAGGTGGAACTCTGTGAGTTCAAGACCACCCTGGTCTCCAGAGCAAGTTCCAGGACAGCCTCTAAATCAACACAGAGGAACGCTGTCTCGAAAAACCAAAAACAGGAAACAAGGGTAGTTTAATAGTTACTTTGGTTTTGACCCAGTAGGTTTATGTAGAAAAAAAAAACAAAGCATAATATGATGTCCATATTATGAGATATGGAAAATAAAAGAACTTCTAGAGATCAGTAATTAAAATGAATTTCTTCTGAGTGGAATTAATACTACATTTAATGAACTTTAAGATATTAAAAACCATCTAAAATGAGGCAGAGGAAAAATTATCATTCTAGTGAGGCATGGGACACATTCAATCAAAACTGATTTACATGTCACTGGAACCCTGAGGAAAAGAGAGGGAAAGGGAGATGTCCATGCAATCTCTTTCTCACTTTTAACCTAGGGTCTTGTTCGAGCTAGGCAAACTACCACTGATCTATGTACCCCAACCCTCATGTTTAGATTTTTAAGAGAGGGTCTCACTGAACAGTTCAGAGTGGCCCTGAACCCAGTATAGCCCAGACAAGCCTTAGACTTGTAATATTTATCTACTAACCTACCTACCTACTTACCTACCTATTTATTTTGTGTATGGGTGTTTTGCCTAAATATATCTATGTACTACCTGTATGTGCCAGAGGGAGTAAAATCCCCTGTGACCAGATTACATAGAGTTGTGAGCTGCCATAAGGATGCTGGAAATTGGACCCCAGTCCTCTGAAAGCATAGCCAAAGCTTTTAACCTCTGAGCCTTAACTACTCTTGAGTCTGTGACAAGACTATGTCACCAGGTCCCACTCAATGGGTCAAATTTTCCATTGTGGGTAAAAACTATAAACTTACAAACTCAAACTCAATGAACCCTAAGTGTATGTATGTGCACAGGTACGCACACACACTTTTCTGTGAATATGAGGTTTATCCAAAACAAAAATTGAAAGAGACATAAAAAGAGTCCATATTCACTGTAAAATATGGGTTGGATCCCTTGAACATTAAAAAATAGTAATGCAGCCAGGCGTTGACAGCGCACACCTTTAATCCCAGCACTAGGGAGGCAGAGGCAGGCGGATCTCTGTGAGTTCTAGGCCAGCCTGGTCTACAGAGCGAGTTCCAGGACAGCCTCCAAAATAATACAGAGAAACCCTGTCTCAAAAAACAAACAAACAAAAAACACACAAAAAACAGGAATGCTGGGCATGGTGGCAATGCCTTTAATCTCAGCACTAAGCAAGCAATTTCTGTGAATTCAAGACCAGCCTAGTCTACATAAAGAGCTCTAGGGCAGCCACGAGCATGTAGTGAGATCCTGTCTCAAAAAAACAAAAACAAAAGACAGCAGAAGAAGCATGACCAAGAATTAGATAAAATATTTTACTATGTGTTATTTGACAAAGAAATGATATCCAGACAGAGATCTTGTTAATCATAAGATAGATTTTTTTTTTAATGGTTAAGAAGTTTGAAAAGATATTTTCACTGGAGAATCAAAATGACCAACTGGAGCTGGAGCATTGTCTCAGCAGCTAAGGACATGTGTTACTCTTGCAGAGGACCCATGATCAAGTCCCAGTATCCACAGAGTGGCTCACAACCATCAGTAATCTATTTCCAGGGGCTCTGACAACTCCTGACCTCTGTGGGTACCAGACACAAACGTGGTTGGTGTACATGCATACAAGTGAAATATTCAAAACAAATAAATAAATCCTGGACTTTTTAAAATGAACTGACATATGAAAAGGTGCTTGTTAATTATTATTCTAATGACAGAAAAATTAAAAACAAATAGCCAACATGAAGAATATCTATATACCTCCTACACATGTAACAGAGTTCTTTAAAACATTTTTAAGTCAGGCTTTAGATTAAACTTATGCTTATAAATGTCCTGCCTCCAAAAAACTCTAGTTAAAATAAACCCTAAGATGTGGGGTATTATTTTAACTAGGCAATGATGTGGTACATTTCATTGTGCTGCAGAATATTACTCTGTATAAAGGTCTGTTGCTCTTATTTATGCAGCATTTGTTTAACAATATAAGGATGTGTGCTTAATTATGTAAAGA